CAGACCTTGTTGGTGGAGCTGGAGCTAGGGATGTGTGAACTCCTTTCCCCTAGCTGTTCACATGTGCACTTGTGACAGCGGTTACCATACGTATACCTGTGCAAATGCTAGCATCTTGGAAAAAGGAGCTGTGGCAGATAAAAGGTATTCTAGTCTTCCTTACCACTCAACTCCAAAATGCAGGGCGTGGTTATGCAGATATGCTGCATAGCCACGCCCATCACTAGGTCTTATTATCAGGGTAGGGCTTCTTTTTTGGGTAGGTCTTATTTTCGGGGAAACACGGTAGGTATAGACCATTATCAGCCACAGAATGTAGGCACTGAAAGAAGCCTAAGAGATTATCTGGTATAGTGTTTCCTAAATTCTACTGATCATATAAGACTCATCTGTGGATCATATCACAGATACAAGCTTCCTATGCCACATCCTGGACTCAGTGGAAGAAGTGGTAATCAAAGCTTTAACAAGACAGTTCAGTAGGAGGCAGCAGTCTCCATGCCCCCAGGAGAGGCCAAGTGGCAGCTGTGAACACAGTACTATTTTCTGTGATGCACTGAACACATGTTGGGGGTCTTCAAGAAGCTTTCACTACAGCTTGAGAGGGAAGATTCTCTCAGTTGAATCTTGTTACTCATGGTAGTTATGTTCTATAAAGTCACTGTGAACACTGAATTGGTGAATACTTAACTGCGGCTGCAGTATTTCAAGTAGATTATAATCTTAAATCCAAAAAGCAATTCATCTTGGTAGATTCCACGTATGTCATATTCATTATTTTATAATGAGAAAAGATGAGGTTCACAAGTGTTAAATAACTTGCCTGAGGCTGCCCCATTCAGTTGCCAGTGTAGGACCCCTTCCAACTAGCCCCAGAACTAGAGCTTGCTTCTTGCAGCTACTGGACCGCCCCTATTGTCTCCACCCTCTGGTTATCTCTGAGAGCTGACACAAGAAGGCAGAATGTCACCTTGTCTGCCCTCAGCTGGGAAGGTGTGCATAGGGCAACTCAAATTTCTCACACTTTGCACGTCTGTATATGACCGGGAAAGCGTTGTGACTATCGATTTTGGGGGTTACAAAGAAATTTTTGGGAATAAGCAAATTTGGAAACATGGACTCTGCAAATAATGAGGATCAACTGTACTTTGATACAAGACTGACAATCAGTTAGGATGCACTGGTTTGGCCATACTGGTTGTAAGATATTGTAAGGAATTCTTTCACTGATTGGTTAGTAGCCATTGCCCTAAGCTTCCTAGGTGCCACCTGATTTCTCCCTGGACCTCGTTACAAATGTAGATCAACTACGGGGTTAATACCTAACACAGGCAGCCTCCAAGACTCCAGTGCTACTACAGGCTTACATTCTAATGCATGGGCACCGATGGTACGGTGCTTTGACTGTCTCCCCTGTGTGTGCACACGCTCACCCACTTCTATGCTCCAAGGTTTAGACAGCACAACACCAACAACTAGAATGTAAGTTCTGAGATCCCAAGAATCATGTCTGTCCTGTGCACTTAAGACTGCCCAGAATAGTAGGCATTCAATAAGTGCTTGATGAATGAATGAATGAATTAGAAACTCTCATTAAAGTTAGTCAGGCAAAATTGTTTGGAGACATGAGTATCAAGCCAGGTCTTAGAGAAAACAGACATATATTAGAAGACATGTAGAAAAGTACAAGGACAAAAGTCACAGGGCAGTAAGACCCAAGAAATTTACTTAAGGAGGAGGAGAACGAAAGCAGTAGGGCCATGGCAAAGGGGCCATGGGATGGGGCTTGTGGAGACATCAAAGCTCCTCTGATGAGCAAGGGAGTGTCAGGCACTGGAAAGGGGAAAGTTGGGACAGAGACTGGGGCAGTGGTAGGCTCTTCATTTTGCACCTAAGTTTGGACGCTTGAGTTTAGTTTGGGTTGTTTTGATGGCTAGAAGCTGAGTTTCCTTCATTCCTTCAACCAATATTTATAAGCACCTATTCTGTGCCAGGTGATGTTTCCGGTGCTCGGGATACAGCAGTGACAAAATATAGTCCCTACCTGCATAGAGCTGATATTCTAAATGAGGGACATAAACATGGGATCGGAAAATGATATAGCCACTCCAAAAATAGTTTGGCAGTTTCTTAATAAACTAAACAGACACTTACTATATGACCCAGAAATTGTTCTCTTGGGCATTTAATGCCAGAGAAATGAAAACTGCTCATAAAAAAACCCTACGCATGAACGTTTACAGCAGCTTATGTGTGGTAGGCCAAAACTGGAAACCACCCAGATGCCCTTCAGTGGGTGAATGATTAAATAAAATGTGGTACAGCCACACTATGGAATACCACGAAATACTACTCAGCAATAAAAAGGAATAAAATGTTGATATATGTGACAAGTCGGATGAATCTCAAGGGCATTACACTTAGTGAAAAAAGCTAGTCCCTAGGCAGCGCCTGTGGCTCAAAGGAGTAGGGTGCCAGCCCCAAATGCTGGAGGTGGTGGGTTCAAACCCGGCCCCGGCCAAAAACTGCAAAAAAAAAAAAGCTAGTCCCCAAAGGTCCCATACTATATTATGACTTTTATATAATACTCTAGAAATGATAAAATTATAGAAATGCAGAACAAATTAGTAGTTGACAGGGATGGGGATGGGTGGAGAGAAAGAGGGTATGGTTATCAAAGGGCAATTTGAGGGATCCCTTTGGTGACAGACTTGTATGCTGACAGCGTTGGGAGATACACGAACTCACACATGGGATAAACTCACTTGACCTGTATACACTGAATCAATGTTGATTTCCTGGTTTTGATGTTGCAGCATAGTTATGTAAGATGTAACCACTGGGAGAAACAGGGTGAGGGGTAGGCAAGATGGATGACTCTTAGTACATTTCCAACTTCCTGTGAATCTATAATGATTTCAATAGAAGCCTGTGGCTCAGTGAGTAGGGCGCCAGCCCCATATACTGGAGGTGGCAGGTTCAAACCCGGCCCTGGCCAAAAAAAAAAGTTAAAAAATATATAGTATTTTGGCTCTGATGAAAAAAAAAAAGCAGTATCAGGAGGTAGTGACAGGTAGATGTTATCTTAGAAAGGGTAGTCAAGTAGGCTCTGCAAGGAGGTGATATTTGAGGAGACCTGATTAACAGGGTAACCCACCCTGGATCTCTGATCACAGCAGTAAATTCTAACCATACAACAAGCATGGTCTAGGGGGAGAACTGGTGTCCATTTTCAAGGCAGGAGATTGAGGGGTTGGGGATTGACTGCCCACTACCCAGTAGGCAACCGCAAATGTGTAATAAAATAAGGAGGGTGGGACTTCCGGTAACACCAATGGAGGTGATACCAGAGATAGAGATCTGGAACTGAGAAAGGCCCATCCGCCTGGGAGCATTATGTGTATGTGTACAGGAGAGTGCACGTGCGTGTGTATTGTGTATATGTGTGTGGTGTGTGTGTATATGTGAGTATACATATGAGTGTACTATGTGGGTATCTATGTGTGTGGGTTCATTTGGGAATGTACTATGTGAATCTAAGAGTGTGCATGAGTGTGCGTGTGTGAGTGTGTATGTGTGCAAGTGTGTGCGTGAAATTCAAACTGGAACAGAAAAGGACTGGGGGACCCCAGGGAGAGGCAGGTATTTAAACCCTGTCCCCCTGACTGGGGAGCCTGTGCTCTGCACCTGTGCTCCATTCCCAGCTTTGCACATTAAATGCTATCTCTCTCTGGAAAATCTTTCCCTCCACCTCTTCCCAGTATATCCTGCCCCATCCCTGAAGATTCAGCTCAGGTGCAGCCTTCTTCATGAAGCTCCCCCTGATTTCATGTCCCTCTCCCCAACAGATATGATCTCTCCTGTGGCTATGAGTTGGGGGTGGCACATCAGGGCTGGGGTATAGGGGGGTGTTGGAGAAGCTAGGAAGGAACAGATAGGCTGGAGAGCGCTAAGTTTTGCATGGGGAAGCTTTGCACGTATGTAACTAACATTGCTATAGGAATGTGCTCTTACTGATGGACACCGGACTTTTTGAATCCTTCTTGAGAAGGGGGCGGTGCCTGTGGCTCAGTGAGGAGGGCGCTGGACCTATATGCCAAGGGTGGCAGGTTCAAACAAGGCCCCAGCCAAACTGCAACAACAACAACAACAACAACAACAAAAATAGCCGGGCGTTGTGGCAGGCACCTGTAGTCCCAGCTACTCGGGAGGCTGAGGCAAAAGAATCGCCTAAGCCCAAGAGCTGGAGGTTGCTGTGAGCTGTGACGCCACAGCATTCTACCAAGGGTGACAAAGTGAGACTCTGTTTCTAAAAAAGAAAAAGAAAAAAGAAAGGAGAAAAAGGGCCTGGGTATTTTTACTTTTAGCAAGTGTAAGTAGTCTCGGTGCCTATTGTGATCAGGCCTGTTTAGGAAACACGGTACTATTTTAAATATCTCAATTTACAGATGAGAAAATAGGTTCACAAGAGAGAAGTGGCTCACCCAAGGTCACACAACCACTTAGTGACTGTAACAGGACAGAGATGAACCTGTTTGGCTTGAATGTACCTCCTAGCAATTTTATATTAAATTTCCTCACATACAGTGCTGTGTCTTATACACTGTAGATCACTTAGTATGCTTGTATGAATGAATGAATAACATTAGCATCCCCCACCTTCCAGGACTTTATAAGAGCAGGACACAGGATAATTTCAATGGAGCACAGACAAAAAGAGGTGGAAAATGTACTTGGAACTGAGCCAGTGGCCAGCTTAAGTGGGTATAGCAGAGGACATAGGACAGAACACAGCACTGTACAACCCCCAAAAGCCTCAGCTTTGGACATGAGAACAGACAAGATGTTCAAAATGTATTCTTTAAGTTCACTCCCAAATCCCTGGCCCACATGTTGGTTCTACTCTCTGACGCCCCACCCCCAAATTGCTGTCGCTTTCCAATATAGGGTCATCCCTTCTCAGTCAGGAGGAAGAACAGATGGCAAAGAAGCTCACTCACCTGATGAGTGTGCAGAACTGTAAGAACGATGAATTCCTTAGCGCTCCTACAGAGAAAAGAGGGAACAGGAGAGTAGTGTATCATGCACTAGGTATTCATCTAGTACAAGAAGCAACACCAGAATTTTCCCCTGGGCTGCATTCAGGTATATGGATTAGGACAGCGGGAATATGAGGATCTGCACGGATGCCTTGCCTCCCATCATTTGTGGAGGCTGACACAAATCATCCATATTCATCCACAGAGGCATCCGAAGATGGCTTTACCATTACCTCTGAAGTTGTCATTTTTCAGGTCTTCGTTTTCTATTCCTTCTCACATTCTCTCTGTAGAAATCCCCAAACTTTAGGAACCATTTTATCCGTCGACTAGGAAATTCGCAAGGAAAACTAAAGGCCTGAATTATGGAACTCAAAGTCAGAGAGTCCTGGGAACCATGTGCAATGATTATTGGTGATTTGGTCTTTAAGCAAGAGGAGAAACTCAAAGGAAAAACCCAAAGGAGGTCATTTGGTCATCATGACTCATAGTCGGCAGATTTGTTTTAATTGAGGGACCAAAAAGTATGAGAGCCAGGGAGGAACAGATGGAAGCCACGACTCTCCAGGTAGCAAATATTCAAAAGGATGAAGAATTTGAAACTCCTGTGACAAGAATTACGCTAGTGATCAAAGAGGCTGTGAGGTATGAAAATGCTCTCCCAGGAATATATGACTGTTTAAAAGAACTAAATGAAATGGAAATAGTTTGCCTTGAAGGAGCTTCCCCTCTCCTTGTTGGCCTTTTTCAAATGTTTATGGGAACAAAAGCATTCAAGAAGTAGAGTCAAGACACCCTTGATTCTGAGTTGTCAAGAAATGCCAAGGCCCCCTGCTCAAGGACTTTGAACATTTCCCACGTTTGGTGAGGCCAACTACAGGGATGAATCAGCCCCAAGGTCTGGGAAGTTCCCGAGAGAAGTGATGAGTTGTGTTCCCGGGGAAAACACCAAGGAAAATCCTTTATCTTGAACAGGGAAGGGGCATAACGTAAGTTGCATTATGTGACTTGTCTGCTCCAGCCTTTACCATGTCATTTCATTTAGGACAGAGCCACAGTCCTTATAATGGCCCACAAGGCTCTCCATCATATGAACCTATCTTCTACAACTCTCTCCTTTCCTTATCTGACTCCAGTCTGACTGGCGTCTCCCTTGTTCCTCAATCATGTCAGACACACTTCTGCCACAGGGCCTTTGCACTGCTTCTTCTCACTTTCTCCAACACCCTCTCCTTTAAGTTTTTCTTCAAATGTCACCTTCTCAATGAGGCCAACACTGGCCCTGCTGTTTAAGAGTCTCATGTTCTACCCACTGAGCTAGCTGGGCACCCAAGGCCCTGCTATTTAAAGTTATATTTTGCACTCCTGTACCCAGCACTCCTGATCCTCTACCTGGATATACTCTCTGTTCTTCAGTAACATTTGTCAACCTCTAATATACCATATAATTATTTATTATGTTACTACTTATGGCATGTCTTTTTTCACTAAAATGTAAATTCCAGTGAGCTGGGGGGAGGGATTTGTCCATCTTATTTTATGCTGTATCTTTCTTTGGTGCTTAGACCAGTGCCTAGTTCATAGTAGGCACTTAATAATAAATATTATTAAATAATGAATAAATAACAAATGACCCATGGACCCTGGAGGTTATCGAAAGAGTAAGCTCTGTTTGACCCTGAAGGAGCTCCAGACTCCCTCATGAAATCAGGCTACCTTGTTCTAGGGTGCAAAGATACCCACTAGAAGCAAAATAGTGACTTCTGAGAAATCAAATTGAAAAAAAAACAACATGCCCTGATGGAGTTGAAGGAACTCACCCATATTGGTGTGGTAGTGGGGTGAAGATGAAGGGTAAGGAAATGCAACAGACAACTGAAGTTGGAGAAGAGACAAAATAAAGGTCATTGAGGTACATTTCATTGAAGGAATTGAGTTGGAGGGGAAGCACACCAAGGAAGACATGCTCTGGACTTCAGAAAGGAGCATTCCTTCCCCCAGAGCTAGTAGGAGTGTGCTGGTCCACACACAGAATACAAAGGCTGCCTTTGAAAGTGAAGGAGTAGGGTACCAGCCCCATATACTGGAGGTGGCAGGTTCAAACCCGGTCCCAGCTAAAAATTGCAAAAAAAAAAAAAAAAGAATGTAAAGGAGGATTTCTGAGATCAGGTGGGTTTTGGGGGACCTCACAAATATGAATGGGATGAAAATACTCTAAGCCAACAGGGATTGAAGGAGATGGAGGCAGAATGGGGCCCTGCTATGCAAAGCCAGGGGGAAGGGGTGGGAAGTGAGCAAGCACACATACATGCACGTGGTTCCGCTTGAAGGAAGACAGCCAAGGTACTCAAAACTGAGGTTAGCTTGTGAAATTTGGAGCCCTTACCTCTATTCTCTCATTCCTTCTCAGCAAATCTATGCCAGGGCATGTGGATGTGGTATGAAAGTGGGGTAGGGGAATGTGTATGGTGTGTGGGGTGTGAGGTATGTGGTGTGTGGGGTATGTGGTGTGTGGGGTATGTGGTGTACATGGTGTGTGGAGTTTGTGGGTGTGTGGTGTGAGGGGTATGTGGTGTGTGTGGGGTATGTGGTATACATGGTGTGTGGAGCTTGTGGGTGTGTGGTGTGAGGGGTATATGGTGTGTGTGGGGTATGTGGTGTGCGGGGTATGTGGTGTGTGGGGGGTGGGGGATATGTGGTGTGTGTGGGGTGGGGGCTATGTGGTGTGTGGGGTATGTGGTGTACATGGTGTGTGCGGTGTGTGGTGTGCAGGCTGTGTGGGTGTGTGGTTTGAGGGATATGTGGTGTGTGTGGGATATGTGGTGTGGAGAGTATGTGGTGTGTGCACACACGCAATGTGTGTAGGGGAAGGGATGGGCGGAGACAACATGATTACTCCCCATTTATAGATGGTGGTGGTCCTGACACTCCCTTTCTCTCTCACCATCTGGAGAGGGTGTTAAGGGGTCACAAATGCTGTGGGCAGAATCCAAAATGGCAAGTTCCCTTCCTCAAGCCACTGGCCAGGGATTCTGGTTTTATTCTCCTTGGTTTTTGTTTTTTGGCATGGGGAGGATTGAGAGGAAGAAGTGGGAACTATGTCTTCCTTGCACAGTGCTTATCTCAGAGTGTTCTTTTAATGGATCGTTTGATTCTCACTGGGCACTTGGTTTGTCCCATGGCACAGCAGCTCAAACACAGAGCGGCTTGGGCGAGGCACTTAGCTGGGTGGAGGGAAGTGGAGGGGAGGCTCTGGAAGGAGGTTCTTCTTCGTGTCTATTCACATCACTGGGAAAGGCTAAACTAGGATGTGTGAGGGCCCCTGATGACCCTGAATGTCTGGCCCCTGAGGTTCTGGATAGCCAGCAACCCTGTCTGGGACTTCTGTGCCTGGCAAGATTCTTCTTTCAGGGTCAGGGAGGACAGTGATAGCCCGATGCCACTGACGAGACAGGGGTGGGAACACTGCTTAGCTCCTGCCAAGGCCCAAGAGGACCCTGTTACCTGATGAGTTCTATGAACCTCTCCCTGGGGGCTTCACTCACGTCCTCCTCATTAATAGCCACAATCTGGTCACCAGCCAGGAGCTTGTCCTCAGAGGGGCCTCCTGCAGAGGAGAGGAGAGAGGCATGAGGGCTCAGGGCTACTGCAGGGGGGGGGAGCACAAGTCTGGGCACATCCCCAGTGCCTGAGAGAGCTGAAGCGGGTGTGGGCCTGCAGGAGGCGATGCAGGCAGAGTGGTGGTGGCAGGGGTGCTGTTCAAGCTCTCTGATGTTACTACCACTGCTGCCTAGGGCAGGCAGAGGGCAGAGGAATGAAGAAAGAGAATGGAGTGGACCTCCTTTAGCTTAGTCTCATACTCAGATGAGGTCAGTAAATGCTTTACTGGCTTGGTTCTAAAGAAGAACAAGGACTTCCATTTCCTAGGAGGGATTTGCTGAGGCATAGGACTGACTTCCAGACTACTGGAGGTGGTACAGCTGACAAGAGGAGGTGGAGAAATATTCTTACTTGAATATTATTCATACTTAATCGTCTGGAGTGATTTAGGCATTCACTTGCCTGGAGACAAGGGGATGGACTAAAAGATGTAAAGGGTTTAATGTTTTTTAAAACACTGAGAAATGCTACTGTCTAATAAATGAGGGGAACAAGGCACATATCCCTGGGCAATCGGTTATTTGCTTTCTCTCCTTCCCATCTCCACTGCCAAGGTTAAGAAAGAAAGCAGATCTCTCTCTGAGCGCCATACCTTCTTGGTTAGGGCAAAGGGTAGAGGTGAGGGGGTAGGGCAGGGCTGTGCTGCCTCTGATGTTTATCCAGTATCTTCTTGGAGAAAAGCTTTTCAGGGACTCAGGGAGAATGAAGAGTCAGCTCCAGCCTGACTCAAATTCAAAAGAAATGTTTAATGATGTGTCCCACTCCCAAACCATCCTCGACTCTTGCATCCACTTTAAAGGGCCTGGCTCTGGAGTGTGGAGCCCAAGGGCCGAGATTGGTTATGGCCAGCGCAGTTGTCAGGATTCACCGCTCAAGCAGCAGTGGCCCCAAACACATGAGGCCAAGTCTCCTGACAGCATAGTGACTTTAGGAGAAGAGTGTGGTGGTGAAGTGTATATTCTTTGCAGCCATGCAGACCTGGACTCTAATCCTAAACCTGCAATTCACGAGTTACATGACCTTGGGCGAGATATTTAATCTCTCTGAGTCTCTCATTCCTCATCTGTAAAATGGGGAAAGAGCAGTACCTAGACATCAGAAGAATGTTGGGGGGATAAATGAGATGATGAATGTAGAGCACAGTTGATTGGTGTTGGTAAGAACTGAATGGTAGTTATTATATCCTCCAAGGGACAATTCCTTCAACTCATTTCATTCCTTCTGTTTCTGCCCAAAATGCCAATTTCTTAGGTAGAGGCCACTCTCTCTCTCTTGCCTTCCTTCTTTCCCCCTTCCCTCCCTTTCTCCTTCTCTCTTTCCTTCTTTCCTTCACTCATCCTTCACTTTCTCCCTTTTCTCCTTTTAATGGAAGAAGTCCTCACGGATCTCAACCCCCTGCATGGGCCCTAGCCCTTTAAGGGCACTGGTAACATCAGTTCACTGTTGCTTTCATAAATGGTTCATCCACTTGTGCAACCATAATTGCTCCTCTGTAGGACACTTCTTTGTCTTTCCTCACAGCCTCAAATAGAATCAAACACATCCTCTGCATTCAGGAGCCACCTGGGCCAGAAGCCACAAGGTGGATCAGCTGAGTCCTTTCTAGAGCTATGCCTGCCAGTCCAATGGCTTTCTGTGCCTTTTGCCTGGTGCTTTCTCTGCCTCCTCACCCACCCCCCCAACTCCTTCCTCTTCATTCTGATTTTGCAGCTGACCCCTCTAGGCCTGGAGACTTCCTTCAGCATGCAAATTCTGTCCCATGAAGTCAAAGCAGGGGCTCCTGGTGGTCTGTTACTAAGTTTGATCTTTCCCAGGATAAATTTGATTTTGTATCAGAGATTCAAAACCCTTTTGCCAAACTGCATGACTGACTCTGGAACCTTAGGTCAGCCATGAACTCCCGTACTAGACTTTTTTTTTT